CCAGAATGATTAACAATAAACTGAATAGACCATTTGTATTTCTTTTCACTTACACCAAAGTCAAAATGAGGTCTACTCCATAGACACTGTTTAAAGGAGTGGGCTTAAGAAAGGGTTGTTCCCTAGGTGGTCTACAGGCTCTGGAGATGTTATGTGTTTCCTTTGGGCAAAGCTCTCCTGTCTTGTCTGGACTTGACTCTCGTTCGATTGTCTATTATACCTTTAATCCATCCTGCTTTGCTTTTTCTATCACTGGTTTCTTAATCTCTGTGCCTCTGTTTCTGCCTTGGGATAATATGTATTGACACTTTGAATAATTCCTAGTTGGAGAGGGTAGTGTCCTATGCACTTTGGGACCTTTAGCTGCATCCTTGATCTTTTACTCAGTGGTTGTCACTTGTGCCAGTTGTGTGACAGTCCTCCCCATAGCCCTCTCCCCTCCACACATACAAAGTGTCTTCAGACATTGCCAGATATCCCCTGGGAGGCAATATCATCATGACTCAAACTATTACATCTAGTCCATTTTCCCATAATCTGGATGCAGACCCTTTCATAAAGACACACACACACACACACACACACACACACACACACACATACACACACACACACAGAAACTCTACCTAGTGATACAAATCCCTCCTCTTTAAATCAGTCTTCTTGAAAATATGACCAAAGTCAATTTTCATCACTATCTGACTTTCTATTTATTTATTAGTTTTTGTATCTTTTTAAATGTATTTAAATTTTATCCATAAAAGATATAAATAGCATAAATACATTAGAATTTATAATAATAAAACAAACATCTACAAAACCACCAGTCAACTCAGAAATGAGAATATCATCAATCCCACTACAGGGATGGCTACCTTTGTCTTCTGCATATTTCTCCCTATATTCCTTTGATGCATGGAAGCAGTTGTTGCTTTGGGGTTTATGTTCATCTTTTCCTTGAATGTTATTTAGCTTTTCATGCTGTGACCAAAATATTTGGCAATAATGACTTAGAGGAGATAACGTTTATTTGGGGCTCATGGCTTCAGAGGTTAAGCCCATGGTGGGCTACACCATCTCTGCATCCTAGGTGAGGCAGAACACCATGGCAGAAGGGTGGAGACAGAAGAAAGCTCCTTAGCTTGTAGTGGCTAGGAAGCAGAGAGAGAAGGTTGGAGCCAGGATGACAAGATACAATCTCCAAAGGCACGTACATCCCCAGCATCCCACTTTCCCCAGACATGTGAAACTGATATCCAATAGTATGTTGCAGTCTCCTGGGATTACTTCTGATTTTTCTGTTCTTTCATTTAGTTTCATTTTTTTT